CTTTAAAGCCCATCTCTGGACAGAAACAAATGAAGAACCAAAAAAACCTCCTACCACCCCTGCTCCCATCCATTCTGATTTTATTTGGAATTCTATTCTTCTGCTCTTTACACTTCCCTGAGTTCCCTGTGGTGTGACCCTTGGTGGAACCTCTTCCTATCCTATAGTGGCGATCGGTGATACGCTGCTCAAGTCCAGGCCCACTGGCTGCTCTTGTTGCCATCCATAGTCTTGTGACTCCAAGTCTTCGGGACCCTGTGATGACCTGTCCAATGGACAGCCAGTGGGGAGCATCAACATCACCAGTGAGGTATGCGAGCACTCAAAGGACTATCCCGAAATATATTCCAGTAGGAAATGCTCCTGGCCTTTCACGTGACCTCCAGTACCAAATCAAGCTTTTTTTTTTTTTGTTTTGTATTGAGTTGGGTGTTTTTAACTAGTTGGGGTGGGATGGGGATTAGCCTGGAGATGAGCTAAAAATTGATCCATCCATATAGCAGCTGTCACAACCAAGGAGGAGCAATCTCCATTTTGCTTATGATTTACCAGCACATTACAAGGGCAGTTCATAGACAATATCACTTGAGTGATAGAAGAGCTGGCTAACATTGACTTGACAGGGTGTAAAACCTATTCTGATCGCTATTGTTCTCCTACAAAATAAGGAGCCCCAACAGTGTTGGCTTGTGCTGCTCCCCTTATATATGAAATAAACATTAAGAGTCCTCTTCAGCTTTGCATATGCACGCTGCAGCACCATTGGCAGTAATTAATTTTCACCTCTTGGAGGATGACTGGCAATCCATTAGTCTTATGGGCTACAGTGCACACGCAAGAAGTTTGGAAGGAAACTATAGCGGTTTGCAGGGAAGTGTGCAGTGGCTTCTACTTCAGAAGGTGCGTATTGTTAGATGTGGTTTAAAGGGAACATGCTGTATATAGCGTGTGTGCTATATCATTTTAGTTGGCTGGCTTAGTGGTTAGCACTTAGGTTGGTCCTTTAAGCAATGGGGTCCTCGGTCATTGCTAGCCAGGACACTATCTGCAAGGAGTTTGCATGTTCTCCCTTTGCTTTTTGTGGGTTTCCTCCCACATTTAAAATAGCTGGTAGGTCAACTGGCTTCTGTCGAAATTGGCCCTAGGATGTGTGTGCATAGGGGCCTTGGATTGTAAGCTCCTTGAGGGCAGTGACTGATGTAAATGTACGATATATGTGTGCTGCAGAAGATTTTTATTGCAGGCATTTATATTTTGAGGACAGAGTGTCTCTTCTGTGTAGTAGAGATTAGGCATACCCCTATCCTACAGTACAATGCCGGTGTCTGAGCCTTCTATCAGATAGAGGGGTGCCTGTCCGTATGACCATAGTGACTCTTCTGAGAGTCGGGAGGCTCTGGGCAGCATTGATCTGCGGTAGTATATGCGGTCTATCAGTTTATGCGGCTCTATGCTTTTTCTGTTGGCTCTGTTTTACACAAGTTCACTTTAGGTTCTGTTCTCTGTTTTAGAGAGGGAGCAATTTCATTAAAGTAATGGAGTGTGCCTCCAGGCTTCTAGCAGACCTCCCGCATTAACATGCAAAAGAACATGCAGTGCACTTTGTTCCCACTTGTGTCTTGCTTGGTAATGATTACTTCTCCAAAGATCTATGCCCTCAAGACCTTGGAATGGAGTGAGCAGTACCATTTGTTGGGTGGGGGCAGAAGGGCATTGGGGACTGTACAGTTTGCACTTTTCAGTTTGTTTATTTATTGGTAATGTAACTACATTTTAAACAACTTGCTTGTTCAAGGGAATCTATTTTCTCTTCAGTACTGACATTTATGGAGTATTAAAAGAACTATGGGGTAAGTGTTTTCCCCAATAGTTCTCTTGAGGGTCACGGGAGGACATATACTAGCGTCCTTCCGTGACCCAAAGCTCAGGATATCACGATCCACCCAGCTGCGTGAACTTTTCATTGTCACACATCGGCTCCAACTATGAGAATGAGTCATTTTCACTCGCCTCATAGTTCTGCTTTAGGGTCTGTTCACATGAGATCAGGTCCTGATCAGCAGACGTGGAGCTGCTGATGCAGTGCGTTTTGGCCGCGTTTTTGATGCGTTCCAGTGCGCTGGAGTGGGGCTGTTAGTATGTTAGCTGCAGCGCAGTGCGTTTTTGATGCGTTTGCGTATCCGGACCGTTTCCGGACCTGACAAAATGTGACACGCATTTTTTTTTTTGTCGTAAGCTGAACGGACTGCGCACGTGAGAACTGGAGCCCATAAAACACATAGGGATACATTGGGATGCATTTTGAGTGCAGCAGCGTACGGAGCCGGTCAGCACACAAAACGGACGTCGTGTGAACAGGCCCTTAAAGGATATATTTCAAAGCATGCAGAAACCTATTCGCTCAATTCCATTAGGTCAACTCCATCAAAACTGATATTTTGTTGTTGGTGGCCCCAGTTTGTTGACTTACCTTTTGGCTCCTTCAATCTCTCGAAGGATACAGTAGTTTGTTGTCTTCCCTTCTCTCCATGGTGGCTTTGAGGGAAGGGGAGGTGACTCTCCTGCAGCTGGATTTATGGGACATAGAATTCGTTAGGGAAAGATTACTTTATTCGTTTATTTTTTTTATAATGACAAGTGCACTTGGGTAGAACTCTCGCCAATGGAGAAAGCATTTAGAGAAGCGGAAGCCCCGTACTTTGGCAGAATACCCCAAATTCCAATGTGGGGCAGAATAGTTCATGAGTCATAGCTCTGAGCTCTATAGAAGAAAAATCCTACCACTGGAATCCCCAGTACATAAAGGAAGCCAACGGGTGACTTGACCTACAAAACCTCACCTTTAAGTGACATGTCATGTTCGAGAGGACTGCTCCTTTAAAATATGATGTTGTTTAAAGGAGAACTATGAGGTGAGTGCTTTTCACTCACCTCGTAGTTCTAGCCGACCTGTGACAATGAGACTGCCACAGGTCGGCTCAGTAGATCGGGAGGTGAGCGAACACATACCGGCAGGGGAGGGGCTGGATTCCCCGCTCCGATCCGCCAGCGCTGACTGGCGGAACGGACGGGGGAGGGGGCGGGTACAGCTGGCTCTGCCTCTAGGTAGGCAGAGCCAGCTGTCAGCCACGCAGCTGGGCGGATCCAGACATAATTGTCGGGATCCGCTTCAACTGTGGCGTCTCAGTATACCGCGAGCTACAGCTCGCGGTATACTGAGCCTAGGGTGACGGGAGGACGCTAGTTTGTGTCCTCCCGTTACCCTAAGGAGAACTATGGGGAAAAGCCTTAACCCCATAGTTCTCCTTTTAACTGGGGAATCTGGCTAAGGACATTATTACTTTCAGTATATACATTGAGGCAGCCGGTCATACTGTATATACTCCTTCTTTTTTTTTTTTTTTTTGGTACGGTTGGTTTCATTGGGGTTAAGACAGCTGCAGTCTATATAAATGCGTCTCACTAGAACTTGCATCTAACATTAGCTGACTAATCGGCCAAGGTTAAAGGGCAACCTACAGTCTTACTGTTTTTGTATTGGTTAAGTGAATTTGATCAGCTTAAAGCAGAACTGTAATCCAATGTTCACATTTCCAGAATCTGCTGGATGCCAGTGAAATGATTTTCTAGCGCCGGGTCACTTGATGTATTGGCCGGGATGTTGTGAGAATTCCCACCCACACGCTGTGCCGATGACCTCATCAGTGGCTTGCCTTAATTGAGGAAATATGTTCATTCCCTACGATTACACATGGAACAGTGGGAAGAGATCCAGTGCAGGAAAGCTCCACATCCACTTGCAAATCATCTCATCTCCTCTGTGTCTTAGTGGTGGTAACACATGGGCATATGGACTGCCATTACATATAAAGACTGTGCTTACTGCTTATTAAGGCTGGCCATAGATGGACCCATATCTCCTTGAGACTGATGAGCGAGCGGGGAGATGCCACCCGAGTCTCACAAGTAGCAGGGCAAGGTGGGGATATGCATTGGATTGATGACCATTCAGTTTGTGGTAGAGTCTCCATGATGATTGGCTGGCTGCTGGGAAATGCTTCGATGTGATTGAAATCCTATTCAGGAATATCACCTATGGCCTTACAAAATTCCCATGTGATGGCTGTTACTTCCTCCTATAATGCCGCCTTTCTCCTTTGTCACAGGAAATCTGTAGCCTGCCATTCTGAAATCTTTAAATATTGCTTTTTGCTTGGCTGTTTCTTGCTTAAATACTCTGCCCTACTGACCCCAACCAGCATGCTGCAAGGGAAGTCAGAATAACTAAAATACATATTTGGTTCTAGGTTGGTGAAAAAGTATTGAAGCCAATCAATGTGACAGCCAGTCAGCAAGACTAGCCTACAAATTTTCTCTTACTATAGTTTTTTTAAAAGGGTCACTCCATATTGAGTTTTTAAGCAGATCTTTTCACCTTAAAGGAGAACTATGAGGTGAGTGATTTTCACTCAGCCTCATAGTTCGAGCCGACGTGTGACAACGAGACTGTCACACGTCGGCTCAGTAGATCGGGAAGTGAGCGAACACATACCGTCGCTCGCTCACTTCTCGATCATGTCCCTGCAGAGAGCCGTGACTGTCACTCACGGCTCTCTGCAGGGATTCTCCAAACCCCTGAATGCAGAGAGCCAAACGGGATGCGTTCTGGCACCAAATCAGGCCAGAATGCACTGTTTGTGGTGTGACTAGCTCTTCTGAAACTGGATCAAACGTAAAATGGAACATTTACTGATGGCATCCATTTGCAGTCTGTTATTTCGTAGTACATTTTATAAAAACCTCCATGCTTTTCCTGGGTTTACCTCGTGTTCCAATCTGATGCATATAAATTGAATGCACATTTCGCTCAAGTGTGCTCCGTTGCATGAAGTTGTCACGTTTTCCTTAAGAAAAAAACCCATCTTGTTAACAGGCGGAGGGGGACAGGAATGTGTATGACGGCTGCAACTATTACATTGCCATTGTGTTTGTCTACACAGGAAGAAGAAATCCCAGAACTGGAAATTGACGTGGATGAATTGTTAGACATGGAGACAGATGAGCAGAGAGGGGGGAGAGTGAAGGTGAGTAGGGTGAGGGTTGTAGAAGGGCTGGAGGAGGGTTGATGGTTATCTTCAGATGTCTGACATGTTTGTTCTTCTCTTTCAGGAACTTCTTAATGAGTGTTATAAGCCAACAGATGTAAGTGTTCATCCCTATGTTTGTCTGTCTTTGTAATAATATATGGAGGAGTCCCTTTTTCCCCCCAGCCATGTAAAGGACATTATTTGACAACGTGCTGAAAAAGGCACCAAGTGTAAAGTTGATGGTACACTACAAAAATTTGCAGTTCAATAGAAACTCTTCAGTGTACCCAGGTGACAGATGTATATAGTATAGAAGTGGTGTCACCACTGAATTCTGGGAGATCAGCATTGTGCGGCAGAAAAACCACATGGCTTTACCATTTTGGATGATACAATGCTGTTTATTTAAAGATAACTATTCATTTGTATAAGTGTTCTTTCATTTACTCCCTGGTAACCCCTTGATGTCTCTGTTTGCCTCTCCACACTGTGTGGCCCACAGGGAGCCACACAACCACCAGCCCCTCAGTTCTGTGCATGCATGGAAAAATCCCATTCATTCCTATGGATCAGATGTCTATTTGTCCCCAGTGTAGGCTACATCTCCATAGGAATGAATGGGATTTTCTCTATGTGCAGGAAAACCAAGGGGTAGGCCAGGGAATCTGCAGTGATGGCTGTGCAGCTCCCAGTACAGTGTGGATCTGGCAGGAGTATGTACAGGTGGATGTAAAGCTGGCATTACACTGCACAAATATGGTCCGAGTCTTAAGGTGGCCATACCTTAGTCTTGCGATGGTTGTACATGGATTAAAAAAACGTACGATCTGCCTATCTTGGACAGGCAGATCGCACTCTCGATCATCGCAAGCCCGCCCCCCTGAGTTGTACATGGATTAAAAAAACGTACGATCTGCCTATCTTGGACAGGCAGATCGCACTCTCGATCATCGCAAGCCCGCCCCCCTGAGGGGCGGGCTTCCGATGACCGCAATGCTAAACGGGCAGTGTGCGCACACCGGCCCGTTCAGCATTTGTCTTCCGAGCACCGTTCTAACCAGCCGAGAATCGTACGATTCCCGGCTGGTTTTCGAACATGCTGGTTCGACGGAAGACGTGCGACCGTACAGAAGAAACGGTCGCACGTCTCCGCTCCCACTGGCCGCTTCTCGTACGATCGCGGGATTTCCCGCGATTCTCGTACGAGAATCGAGCAGTGTATGGGCACCTTTTACGTAGGCTATACGCTATGTGAATTTCAGCCAGATGAACCGGCCAAAATTTGCACAGTAGGTGCCCCTGTCAGCACCCTTCCTCCTCAGCATCTCTCAATCAGCTGATTGCCTACAAACTCCATTCAGCTAAAGATTTCCCAACCTGCTCCTTCAATTAGCTGCAACCTCTGTTCAGGTATTCAGAAGACAATGGAAACAGTGGGGGATTCCTCCTTCCATGCTCATGAGTGCTGATGGAACAATCTGTTATATTTTCTTCATTCATCTGTGGGCTGAAGAAAATGGAACTGTGTATACCTGGCTTTACCCACTGCCCTGTTGGCCCTCCTACGTTCAACAAAATTCTTGGAAGAACAGTGATGGCATCCAATCAGGTGTAGTCACTGTTCAGGTGTTCTGACAGAGGCACCCCCGCCACTATCACAATCCATTAGCCCGGCAGGACATTGTTCCCCCATGTACAGGGTCTAGCATGAATGGGGAATCTAACTTAATTTTTTTTCTTCTTATTCAGCCCGTGGGACTGAGCGAGGGGAAAAACAACTAGTGTATGGCCAGCTTCAGACTTTGAGGATGCTGGTGGAGGGGAGTAGCTTAAAGTACTGTATAATAAAACTATTGAAGGTGTTTCCCGTGTCCCGTTCATTTAACAGATAAATGTGGACACCAATAATCCAGCGCTCAAAAATCAATTGGAATATAAGATGTTTGTTAAATTCATTCAGTGTCAAACCAGTCTACCAGCACCTTCCCCTCTAATGCGTTTCACTCGATGATGAGCTGATTCATTACGGAAGTGTGTGTTAGTGCAGTATTGGTGAGCGCCAAAATGCACATAGTTGCAGTGTTGGGAAGAACAGAAGTTCAGGTATTGGTGAATTATAGCCATTCCAAAACCAGCTCTACCCCAGTTTTGTGTATTTGCTGCCAGCTTGAGTCACATGTTGGCTTTGTAGATGTCTGTGGCAAGATCCTCCCAGTGACCAGACCAAACTGCCACTACAAGCCATAAATTACTGTAAGTGGGGTATACCTGGTCAGAATTCTGTACAAAAGAACTTGTTTTCAGAATGTTTTTTTTAATACCAGCTAGCGTAGTATTAAATGGTTCTCTATTGCCCTTCACTGTAGAGAGTGAACATAGACTTTTATAGCAATTCACTTGTAGCCACCTCATCTTTGTTTAAAATTTTTATTCCAATTTTCATAAACCGTTCGGCATGGTTAATTAAACCTGGTTACACTGTTGGGCTACATTCGCACGGGGTGGCTGGGGATTTCTGGATTGTTGTGTGCTTGAATCCCCAGCTGCAGCATTAACATTTGATTGCACAATCGGCTGTATCGTGTTTGAAATCCAGCCCTGGCCCTGGCTTCTGACTGGACCGGACCGCAGGCATTGATGTGCCTTGCGTTCCCGTGCGGCCGCAGGGTGTGGCTGCGGTGCCATTGACTTCAATGCACCGCCTTGCCCCACAACAAAGTGAGCTGGCCGATATGCAATCCACTGTCTTCCGGACAGAATCTGCCCGGAACGCACTGTGGCTGGTGTGAACTAGCCCTAAGCCCTGCCACTGGAGCTGTAGGCATATAACCTTCAACACTCAAACCAGAGCACTCTGCTAGGATCACCTTCTTTTTTTTTTTTTTACACAAAATATTTTCTTGTTTTTACTGATCTTTATTTGGATTGCAATACTGTGACTACATGTATTAATATAAAAATATCAGATGAATGTATTAACCCATACACTGTAATATCTGATTGTACAATCTCCTTTATATCTACCAACAAGTGCAAGGGCCTGTCTGTTGCATAGTTTAAGTGGCTCCTCATATTATATGGTTTGTGTAAATCTAAAGTGTAATGTGTGTGGTGACCCTAAATACACTTTTATGTCAGGTGATGATGAGGAAAGGGTTTTTGGCCAATACGATACAAGGAAAAGACACCTCTGCCCCCTATAAGCATGTGCTTAATGGTAATCTGGCCTATGTGACGGAACACAATGACCGGCTGGTTTAGGTGGACCTCGTCATTACACTGGTTGTTAAATCTGCAGGAGATGTTATAATGTTATAATTACAGACCGCTAATTCAAAAGCTAAGGAACCACTGTGACACCAGAGCCCCTACCTAGGGGTTCGCCATTCTATAACCTATATGACTGAAAGTGTGCCTGAAACATGGCAGTGATGATAGGGTTGACTATTTAATAGACCAGGAAGAATGCCTCTAATAACTGTTCTTTATTCAACAGGCCTTTATAACTGGGTTACTGGAGAAGATTCAGGGAATGCAGAAGCTAAGCACTCCCCAGAAGAAGTGATTTTCTAGCAAGTTCAGAAACCGAGGACAGCGCCTCCACTTCATTCTGGTAGCAGTGCAGAATTGCAGGCTGTCAGGGTCACCGGCCCCTCCCCCCCTGCACAGATGGATTGTGTGTGGCTGCTAGCAGCCCACTTGGGACATGTAATGCAGGGGAACCACTTCTTTTTATATGAGGTTTTTGTAGAAATCTTTTTTAATTAAATAAAAATTGTAAGTGTTATGAAATTTTGCGACTCCATATTGCTTCCATTTAGTGTCTATTGCATTGTCTTGCCCACAAGAGGTTTGTTCTAGATTTGTCACACTGAACTAGTCTCTCTGCAGCGTCTCATGGGGACACTGCCTGGTGATGACACCCAGGAGATAAGCCTAGGATTGTGAGCTGTAAACAGGACAAGTTTAGAGTATGACACACACGGGGACTTGGCAGCTGCTGGTTCAGAGAGACAACCATTCTGAGCATTTAAAGCCCAACTCCAGCCAAAACCTTTACTAGTGGGGAGGGATTAGAACATTAGATTTATCTTGTTTGTTTCCCCCATTCCTCTGTCACCGGTATAAAGGTGCCCATACACTGCACGATTATCGTACGATAATCGTATGCGATCGGGTTTTCGTACGATAATCGAGCAGTGTGAACGGAGACGTGCGACCGTTTCTACTGTACGGTCGCACGTCTTCTGTCGAACCAGCATGTTCGAAAACCAGCCGGGAATCGTACGATTCACGGCTGGTTAGAACGGTGCTCGGAAGATAAATGCTGAACGGGCCGGTGTGCGCACGCGCACACTGCCCGTTCAGCATTTGCGGTCATCGCGATGATCGAGAGTGCGATCTGCCTGTCCAAGATAGGCAGATCGTACGTTTTTTTAATCCCTTTACAACCATCGCAAGACTAAAAGTCTTGCGATGGTTGTAGAGTGTATGGCCACCTTAAAAGTGGGTGGAAGTGTCTGGACAGCAATTAAAACATACGATTTAACCCTTTCCCATTGTATTTAAAACATAGGAAAAACGTTTTGGCTAGAGTTGGGCTTCACATAGTTTTAAATGTAATCTAATCTCTCTCCCCTGTGATATATTAACCAGTTGACATCCGCGGTGTTAAACCCCCTTCCCATTCAGGCCATTTTTCAGTATTCAGCGCTGCGGTACTTTGAACACCTGTAATGAGAGAAATACAGTTTTGCTATTGATGGCTTGCTTCTAAAAATGAGTTGCCAGTCTTAAGGTGCCCATACACCTTACGATTATCGGACGGAACTTTTCGTCCGATCGAATAGTCGTACAATTTTCGTACGGCAGCCCCATCCTGCCCCGATGAACGCAAGATTAATTTAGCCGTAATTAAGGAAAAGCACCTGGACGAAATGCGGTAATTGAGTTGCCGTATTTTCGTTAGCGCAAGCGCAGTGTAGATCGTACGACTTTTGACGGACGGAAACGCCAGCAACCTTACGAAAATCGTACGATCTAGCAAAGTTTTCAAACATGCTTGACCGTCAAAAGTTGTACGATTGTACAGTACTGTCGGTCGGACACTGCAATGCACATATACGATTATCGGCCGAAAAGTCGATCGCATACAAAAATCGTCCAATAATCGTAAGGTGTATGGGCACCTTTAGGCTGACAACAAGCATGCAGTTCACACTATGTCTGTGATGGTTCTCATTCATCCAGGTCATGGTATATCTGTAAAAAATAAAGACAAGGCAACTGGACTTGCTGTATTTTTCTTTAAGACATTTCACTGGTCATCCAACCAGCTTTCTCAATTCAGAATGACTTGTACAAAAATTATCTGGGAATAAATATGGTGAATGTTACCCCAATCCACATAATCTGTTAGTGTTGATTTGCATAATTGGAGCTAGGAGGTGTTATTAACCTGCCCAGAGAGAGGTGTTAAAACAGCATTGTATGTGGCAGACAATGCAAGTCCCCCCACCACCTCTATTCAAGCTCGGCTTCTCCATTTTTACATAAATGGCCTCTTTCATACCTCTTTTAAACCAGTCCTCCTCCCTGTCTAGGATGCGTACTTGACTGTCTTCAAAGGAGTGACCTTTTTTCTTATGTAAAAATGGAGAAGCCGAGCTTGAATAGAGGTGGGGGGGTGAGACATCTATTGTCTGCCACATACAATGCTGTTTTTACACCTCTCTGGGCAGGTTAATAACACCTCCTAGACTCTGATTATGCAAATGAAATCAACACCTGGTTGCGCCTTACAGATTATGTGGATTGGAGCGACATTCCTCATATTTATTCCCAGACAATTTTTGTACAAGTCATTCTGAATTGAGAAAGCTGGTTGGATGACCAGTTAAATGTTTTGAAGAAAAATACAGCAAGTCCAGTTGCCTTGTCTTTTACAGATCGAGTTCACACTGTTCCGCTGCTTTGGCGCAGGCATGTTAACGTGTGTTCCATTAGGGTAGTTCAAGTATTAGAATGGGCTGCCTAAGGCCTATTTCATACAGACCTGATCAGGTCTGCCTATCCAGTCTTTTCAGGTGGATCTGATCGGAAGCCCAATGTTGGCCTACGGGCAACTGAACCTAAACGGACGTGCATCCGTTACATCAGAGAACACCCAATTCCGGCCAGGTCCAGAAAAACAAACTGATCCGAGTTTTCTTTTTCAGCAGACCTGATTGTGGCAGATGGGGTGTAATCTGATATAAGTGGACACATGTCCGTGTACATCCGATTTCCCAGAGACCAACATGGGTTCAGTAATTTCCTCCATTGCATCACAACGGTGACATCCGTTCCAATCAGCAGAGGATCTGTACACTGATCCCCAGCTTATCAGAATGGAAGGCGCCCGTGTGAAAGGGGCCTTGTGCACCAAAAAGGTGCAAGCACTATTTGTTTTGTAGTGGATGGTGCAATACGGTGCATTGAGGAGGGCTGCAACACACATCTGTCAGTAAGGTGTGAATGGCACATGATTTCACGTGTTACCTCAGTTCAACAATGTGAACCCTAACAAGTCAGGATAAAGGCAGAACTCCTTCTCTGTGCTCTTGTTCCAGGATGAATGGATGAAAAGGACAGCCAGGCACTTAGTGTTTTCAGGAGATATTTCCAATAGCAGACTTCATATTCTCTCCTGTAGAGCGTTCCATTAAAGAAGAACTCTGGGATGCACATCACTTTATACATTTAGGCCCCTCTCAGTCAGAGGAAGCAAACTGCTGTAACCATTTCTCATAAAAGTTTTTTTAGTTTTCTTTGAATTCTTGTTTTTAGCTGCCAATGATGTCGCATCCTCTTATGTACAGATCTGTCCTTCCTGCAGCCAGGACAAGGATCTAGATAACCAGTGTGTGTGTCATAGCCTGGCAGAGAAAGCAGACTACATCTCCCATGAGCCATTGCAAAAGAGGAAGTGGGAGGTGTGTATAGGTAGAGCTGGAGATGGGAAGTTCTGTATGCTCCAGTGACATTTTTAGTTTTTATTTTTCTTCTGTCAGCAAATATTATAGGCGCCTCTACATGGCAAATCCCTCTGCTTAAGTCATCCTTCCTCCTCCTAGCAGCATCTGGTTGGGTGGAATACGGATGTCCTGTTAATGAACGAAGTAGAAAGACAGGTCACCAGCACTCGAGATAATTTAAATGGATTAGTCCTTTTTATTGGACAATTGTGTCACAATAATCAACAAAGCCGACGTTTCAGGGCCGTGCAGGGTCCCTTCAAGGCAAAAGGATGTGACAACATCCTTTTGCCTTGAAGAAGGGACCCTGCGCGGCCCCGAAGGGATCCTTTTGCCTTGAAGGGACCCTGTGCGGCCCTGAAACGTCGGCTTTGATTATTGTGACACAATTGTCCAATAAAAAGGACTAATCCATTTAAATTATCTCGAGTGCTGGTGACCTGTCTTTCTACTTTGTATTTTGCACGGTGCCATCCGTGGTAGTTGCTACAAGCACCATTGTTTTTACTGGCCGGGACTGCTGTAAGGTGTGCGGAGAGCACCCTCACAAACTGAAACCTGTTAATGAACGGATCTTTCTTTTGAATTGATTATTTTCAGTGAAATTGGATGAAATGATTCGGGGCTAGTTCACACCAGCCCCAGTGCGTTTCGGCCCAATTCGATGCCGGAACGCACTGCATTGCATCCCGGTCCAGCTCACTGTGTTGTGGGGCCGGAGGTGGCGTAGCAGCGCATTGAAGTCAATGACACTGCGGCCGGGAATCCTTGCTGCGGTGCCATTGACTTCAATGCACCACCACGCCCCCTCCCGCCCCAGAACGCAGTGAGCCAGCCGGGATGCCATCCAGTGCGTTCCAGCACCAAATCGGGCCGGAACGCACTGGGGCTGGTGTGAACTAGCCCTCATCTGACTGAACTGATGACTGGATTCATTTGAAAGGGTTCAGTGTTGCATCAATAGGAGAGCAGCACTGGTAATATGATTTTAGAGAGACAGCTCCGCCCCTCCCTGCAACCAATCGGAGCTAACAGTACGCTAAGAATCAGAACTTGCAACAGTTCTCAGTCAATAGTACAACAAACATTGAATCTAAGAGAGATGACACCCAGACTGGGTCAGAGGAGATCCTCATTTAGTCAGCTCCTGAGCTTCAGTTCACTTGCTTGTCAGCAGACTTGGAACTGATGAATCGATTTATGTAAAAGATCCGAACTTCTCATCACTAGTGTGGAAGAGCAGTTTGACTTTACACAGAGGTCCAGCCAAGTCTCAGGGAAGGAGGTGTGACAACAGAGAGCTCTCCACTGAGAGTGAGTGTGGCAGACCAGCAGTCTAAAGGTGGCCATACACTTTACAACCCTCGTAAGACTTTTGTCTTGCGAGGGTTGTAAAGTATTTTAAAAAACTTTAAAAAAATCTTGGACAGGCAGATCGTACTTGCGTTTATTGGGCTTCCGATGACTGCAAACGGGCAGTACACCGGCCCGTTCGGCAGTTGTCGAACAAGCATGCTGCTAACTTGCCGGGAATCGTACAATTCCCGGCGGGTTTTCCAGCCTTCTTGTTCGACGGAAGACGTGCGACCGTACAGTAGAAACGATTGCACGCCTTCCATACAATGCACGATTATCGTACGATCGCGGGATTTCCCGCGATTCTCGTACGAGAATCGTGCAGTGTATGGGCAGCTTTTAGACTTCCCTACTCCACTCACTGCAGTGCATGCTGGGATGTGATCTCTT